TAATGGTGACCTTGTAACATCCAGTTGAACTAAGTCAGAACTGTGCTGGGTATGGATGGCCCACTTGAGAACTGTTGCCAAGAGCAACAATCTGGAGGAGAACCAATAGAACTGGAGGGGAAAATGATGCTCTGTTGATTCTCCTAGAGAAGGGTGTCCTGCTGGCTTTCCTGATACGAACTCAATTGTTGTCATCATCAGAGGAGCTCGGGTCCCTGCTGTCACTAGGATGGCTGTGATACTTTTCTGGGGAGCTTGGTTACTTGCCTTGATCCTTACTTGCTAGCTCCAGTGCGGACGCCTCAGCTTGCTGGCACAAATCTTTTATCCTGCTGGCTCAGACATTCTAGCTTTCCACGTAGACTTTTGGGTATTCCCAGTGAAGATCCTTGATACAGACTTTCATTAGTCATTGTGGGATATAGGTCTCCAGAGGAACTTATGTAGGACACTTCCATGTGGTCTAGGTCTTCATCTGGACTCACGCAGGACTTTCTTGGGGATCCAGACCCTCCACGGGGCTCCTTGAGTCTCTAGTGTGTGGTCAGATTTCCTGTACTCTGTTTTTTGGTTTTTTTTGCAGAACGAGGGATTGAACTCAGGCTCTTGTGCATGCCAAGGAAGCACTTATTCCACTGAGCCATCTCCCTCACTCCTCCTGTACTCTTTTACATTTGAGTCTTTGGGTGAATATTGGAAAACAATTCTATAAATGATGTATCATAGTAAATACATGGCCTTGTAAACTCTAACTCTAACATAGCAGAAAGATCAGTCAGTGAATTGGGTGATGAGCATAAGTGGATTGTGAGGTGGTAGAAACCAAGGGTGGTCATCAGCCACCAGAGGAAACATGTGTGGCCATTTTAATGGGTTAGAGAGTCAAGACCGCCTTCGGAGTCTAACGCATACTGATGTTGGGTGTACTGGGATGATTGGCTAGAAGCAAGAAAGGTCAGAAAGCTACTCATTCCTCATTTAATATGAATTAGCAGGTCACATACTTTCTAATGACTCTTATCATGTGAATCTATGACTAAAATAAATCAATAAATCTATAAATCAGTCAATAAATTAAGCTTGTGTTCCATAAGTGAAGGTAGACCATTGGGATTTTTTTTTGCAGCTGCTAATTATAAAACATTACCCGTGACTATAAGAAGTTCTGACCACAAGAAGTGTGCAAACCTGAAAAGCTGGATGTTGGATTCAGTGCAAAATATTGGAGATGAGAACAGCATCCTCCCGTGAAGTCAGGTTGCAGAATGGCCGAGGCCACTAGCAGTGTAGCGTTGCAGGCCTCTTGAGTCGCCTGCGAGGCCTATGTACAGGGCCACGCACCAACTTCTGCTCAAACCTGTTAGAGTGTTGGTGTTGGGTCAGGTTTGGGAACAGTGCTGGAGTACAGCTCTACAGTTGGCAGCAGTACAGCCCAGGAGCAGGCAGAGAGGGCTTGAAGCTGCCATTGATTCTGTTTGAGAATCTACTTGAGTGGAAAATGTGGTACGGAAGAAACAAGCTGCTTCCCTCCTGTATCAGAGGACTTCTTAAGAGAACTGATGTTGGGGGCCTGCATGTTAGCTCAGTTGGCTAAAGCACCTACTAGGGCAAACTCAATCTGGTGCAGGGGACTGCAGTTTGATCCCCAGCTCCACAACCACATCAGACCCACCCTTAAGGCATACTGAGCTGGCTGGAAAAAAAAATCATTCTCAAGAGATAGCTCAATAAAATAAGTGCTTGGGGGCTGGGGAGATGGCTCAGTGGAGTAAGCCCTTCCCTGGCAGGTGCAAGGACCTGAGTTCAATCCCCGGTTCTACAAAAAAATAAATAAATAAATAAATAAATAAAATAAGTGCTTGCCTGGCAAGCACAAAGGCCTGAGTTCAGTTCCTGGTTCCGCCAGGAAAAAAAAAAAGAAGAGAGAGAGTTGATGTATCTGGCCATTTTTTTCTAGGACAAGCATGGAACATTGGGTGTTGTTAATTAACCTGCCCAATAAACAGGAGCATCTGTGTCTTATGATAAATGTATACTTGCAAATGTTATTATTCCTACTATTATAATAAAGGATGGTCTTTGATGTTGATTCTAAAACAAAAACAAAAACAAAAGTCATATATCCTCAATCAATCCCTGATTTGAGCCAGAATCAACAGACAGAATCTCTGAAATAAAGGAGAGGTGGTTCTCTTTGAGGAAATACTCCAGCGCATTGTGAGAAGTTGAATCCCTTAGACCTTCTCCGTCTTCCAACAGGCACTTGAGCTCTTGTACAAGGGGAGCAGCATGGTGTACAAAACAAAGTAGCAGTATCTTTTGAGGAACTCCTGGACCTGGCTCTGAGTTGATACTAATTCCAGATGATCCAAATTTCCCCATTGTCCCCACTGAAAGCGATAGAGGTTCAGTGAGTTGAAGTTTGAGCTCAGACCCATCTCACCATTATGGCTTCTCTGAACTCATCCTGTGGTCATTTCCTCAGCATAGAAAGCAGAGACAAACAGATGTAGCTAGTAGCTAGAAAAAGAAATCCCTACCCTTTACCTTGACTTCTGGAGTAATAGCTTGCTTGCTTGCTTACTTACTTTTTTTCCTTCTTTCTTTCTTGTAATGTTTTCATATGGTCAGAAATTGTCACTAGAAGGTATGAGAACTGCTTTTACCTTGTAAAGTAACAAATCAAAATCAATACACCTTCCTAGAGGTATTACAGAGATTCCTGCCAACTCATGGGCTGTAAGGAAGTAAGGGTGAGTCTCATCCTATCCACATTCAACTTTTCTTTTTGGACCTTATAGAAGACAGAGGAGCTGGTTGGTTGATGACATTATGTTGTTTTCATCTTACCCAGGTTATGACTAGAATAGTCCTTTACCAGATAAGGTTTAATTTCTACATCCAATGAAGTCATAAAGTACCTACAGATCTGTCCATCTCAGCTCATAACATCCAGGAGAAGCATTTTGCTGTCAACTGGTAAGGCCATCCATATCGCTTCCCCTTTTTCCCTGGCAGTCTGTCAAATCTCCATCCCGGTGGACATGACTTATTGTTAAGGGCCCTTGATTGCTTTTGCTTCCCATCAGATATCATCCTAGTTAGCTATATTGGTGACATTATGCTTATTTCACCAAGTGAGTGAGAAGTAGCAGCTAATTTACTTTTTTTTTTTTTTTTTTTTTTTGCAGAACCAGGATTGAACTCAGGCCCTTGTGCTTGCCAGGGAGGCATTTATTCCACTGAGCTATCTCCCCGGCCCTAGCTAGCTAATTTAGATTGATGTAAGTATTTGCTGCCTGAGAATGGGGAGTAAAATCATTGGTGTTCTTCCTATGAATTGTCTAGGGGTCTTAGTGGTGTGGCTCAGGTAGAGATAGGCCTGTATAGGGAAATACAAAATCTCACATTTGGTTTATCTGACCACCAGATAAGGAATCCTCCAATCTTCTGTCTGAGGGATAGACACCGAGAAAGGCAGTGGTAGCAGCCCATCTGATGGGAATGGCTTGAGAATGGGGGGCAAGGCTGCAAGTTCTGGTGTGAGTTAGGAAGCGGTAGGAAGAGAACATTCAATGTCACAGGTGAGGAATGGACCAGGTGCATAGCTCTGCTGAAGCATAGTGAGTTTTCCTTTCCTCTGTGTCTTCCTTTTATCCAGGCCTGGCAAGATATGATTTTCCTGTATATACAAAATAGTTAGGATAGATACACAGCTACTTTCTCTTAGTTCAATGAGAAGAAAGATTTGTACTAATAGTGTTTAGACAAGATATCATGTCTGCATCTTGTACTATGAATAACTGCTGTGAAGACAACAATATGCAAGGTATTAATTTTTGTAATTAGTCAACTAACCTGTTTTGAAACTGTCTCATTGCTATTTTTTTCTCAATAAAATTCATTTAAAAGATACGGTTTTCCTCTGCACCGTGGGGAAATCTTCTTTCAGCCTTGTGATCCAAATAAGAAAGTCTTCCAGGAACCCCCTCCGAGGCACACCTACATATAATGTTTTACCAGGTATCACAGCTACCACAGCAACCTTCAGGCATTCAGGTGGACACATGAAGCTATGCACTGATAAAACAAAATTACCAATTAAATAAGAGGTTTCTTTCCAGTTAAAGGCCTTTATTATTTAAAAAAAAAAAAAGGGGGCTGGTGAGATGGCTCAGTGGTCTAAGGCACCCACTTACAACAAGCTAAGCTAAGCAAAGCACAGGGACCACGGTTCAATCCCCCAGCACCACATGCCAGCCAGCCCCGCCCCCTGGTGGGCTGAGCTGGCCACACACACACAAAATAAATAAATAAACAAACAAATAAATTTTTTTTTTTAAAAAAGGCCTTTATTGAAATGTTAGATGGTAATAAGTTAAGAATGGGGAAAATAATGCCATCTTATTTCAATATTGAGACCATAGAATAAATCCCTGAGTTCATGAAGCTGACTATCTGTTAGTCATAGAATTCTTCCTACAAGACTATTGTGTTTTTGGTTCAGAGGAGCATTTGACCACAGAGAGCCAAAGCAGAGGGCAGAAGTTCTTCTCTTCATTCAGCCTGCTTGTTCTCACTTCTCAGCTAGAAAACTAAGGGTAAAATACCTTATTTAGCACCAAGACGAAATGGCTTCACAGATGAAGAATAAGTGCTCAATGGCAGTAACCAAAATAATGGCAAGGGCATGAGATGTTCAAGTGAGAGGAACTTCCAGGAAATAACTGGACCCTGACATGAGAAGGAGCACTTGATGGCCCTGAAGCAGGAGAGACAAAGCTACCACACAAGAGTAGAACTCACACAGCCCTCAGGTGTGAGCTCATGATGGGCTTGAAGGGAGTAAGTGGGAAGCCTGCGGGTTCTCTCCTTTACTGTGAAGGAGCAGAAGAGATCCCAGCCAAGGGAGCCCACACCTAAAGGATTATCTGGAGCCTAGGAAAAGACTGAAGGTGGTAGCTCAGCAGATGACCACTCAGGAGACTTTCTTTTCTTCATCATGTTTTCAAGAGCTTCACGAGAGTATCTTCAATCTTTGGAAAAGAAACAAGTATTAATTGAAGAGCCTGTGGAAACCTGGGACAAGTCTGCTTGGTAACCTGTTCCTAGTCACCCTGACCTCAGATCTACCCTCACCAGGTGTAGTAGTTGGTTGACTGTGTCAAATTGAGAAGCTAAGAACTTAACTAAATGGCCTCAGCAATTTCACACCCTAGGGCATAGAGGCCACACTCTAGAGTGACTCATTACTTAAGGAGACTGAGGAAGGACAGAGGGCCCCATTCTTTCTCAGAGGACCTCCAGGCTCTAGTGCAGACTCTTGGCTTCTGCTTTAAATCCTTCAGTTTTCTGGTGTAGACTCATCAGCCTTCCATTGTAGACCCATTTGCATCCTGATACAGACTTGCATGGAACACTGCAGTGGGCTCTAACCTTGAACTGAATCCTTCAGTCTCCAGTGTGCAGACGCTTCCTCATCCAAATTTCTCATACATGTGTCCATCTTGTGTTATATCTGTACCTCTAGGAAAACTCTGACTGATACACCAATGGTTCTATATTTCCCTCCTTGTGCCTTTCAACCCATGGCCCCAGGTGCCTATAGCAACCTTCTGCTCTGCATCCCAGCATCATCGCTATGCCCTGCTGAACACTGGAAGGACTCCCAACTGAAGCTGTCATTGGACCTGCTGACTGATGAGAGGCTGCTTCCCTCTCTCACTGCATGGGCTAGAAGAGCTTTAGGGGAGGTGGGAAGGTCTAAATTTGGTGCTAGAGTCTTGGTTCCTTTGGGCTGGAGTGGGGTTACAGGCAGGCAGACGTCCTCCTCCCTTTCTCTCCTCAGGTGGGAGTCTCACACCATCACCCAGAGTGCAGAGTCACAGCCCCACCTTACCCATAACCTGTCCACCAACCCAGGAGTATGGACTCCAAACCCCTTGGCCCCACCCGACTTGGGTGCAACTCTGCTCCAGGGAGGGAGGCAGAGCTGGGCTCTGCAGGAGGCTGCCAGAGGAGGAGTTTCAGTGGAGCCTACATTCCCAGGATTCCCCAGAGAGTTGGCCTCCTTTTCCCCTCATCCAGCACAGACCCTGTATTTAGTTTGCTGCCTTCTCTGAGAACAAAGCCTCTTCTAGTGGGAATGCAGCCCTGAGTACCAGACTGGGCATCAAATTGGGAAAGGCTTCTCAGGGCCAGGACCCTCTCCTCTTCATGTACTGCAAGGAGGGTGAACTTCCCAGAGCTTTCAGTGATAACAAAAAAGGGGCATGCATTAAGGCCATAAGCTTACCCCCAGGACTGTATGGGGTGAGTCTTCATTCCTCTTTATGCATGTCCTGGAGCTACAGGATATCACCAAAATGTAGACCTTTCCCTCTCTGTGTTCCCACAATGTCCATACCTTGTGTCTCCTGTCCCTCCCCAAAAAGAATCTAGGTAGAACCAGGCTTTGTTTTGATAATTCAGTTAGAACCTAGTAAGTGTGATGCTGGTGTAGGTCTCCTACTTTCTTACTTGTTCCTGCTGGGGATAAATTCTCCCAGCTCAGGGTTGAGCTTGCTGAGCTATTGCTCTTGTGTGCTATGAGGCTGCATTGCCCAGCTACATCTCAAAGTACAGTGAGGATCAGAGAATCTGGGCACTCCCTCTCTGTTCCTTACTCCTCAGCCCTCAGCCCCTTACCTCCCTCAGAGTTCTGCTCATCACACCTGCTACTTCGAAGAACTCTCCTGTCATGCCAAGTAGAATGGAGGAGGTCAAGATCAGCAATAGGTATCCAGGGCTCAGCATGGTAGTCTTAGATCTGGATTCTGCTACAGCTAGGGTGGTGGGTTGTGCTGGAATGGAAACATGAGAGTCAGCATCTGTCCCGACCCAACTCTGAGGAGCTGCCTCCTCAGCTCCAGATATCTCAACTAACCCAGCAAGGCAGACAGCTACCCCGCTGCTATGTGGCAGCCACTGTGACAGGTCTTGAGGTGGGAAGAGAAAGACAAGGAGGTCCCTGGGGTGAAAGATATACTCAGGTACTGAGCAGCCCCGAAAACAATGTCACCCACCGTTGCAGGTGGTAAGAGGAAGTGATCTCTGCCAAGATTGGTAGGGAATGGTCTCAGGAGCTGGCATGTGAGGTGATTTTGAAGATTTCAAGAAAGAGACCAGGTGAGATGGAAAGAAAAGTGAATCCCAGGGAAGGCCTGGAAAGGGAATGATGTCTTCAGTGTGGAGGTCAGCAAGAAAACACAGTGAACAGATCACAGGCATGTGCAGCGAGCCATGGTTGGGTGAGAAAGGACAAAATAGGAAGAATACACTGGCACTGTTCCCCCAGGGGAAACCATTCCACATCACTGTAGATGGTGTGTTTACACACAGGCCTTCACACCAACATGCACTCTCATAGACTTGCACATGCATGCAGGAGGAAGATCTCATCTGAAGGGAGCTACCTCTTTCTCCTCCCCTTCCCAGCTACCTCTGGTCTCGAGACTTTCCTTCCAGTGCTCCAAGAACTGTGTCAACCAACTCCCACAGTCCTCCATCAATGTCCAGTATAAGAAGAGGCACAGCTCTTTGTCATTTTTCCACTGCTCTTTCAGACTACTCAATCCAGGATGTATCTCAGTCCACTTTCTTTGGTTGGAGTTAAAATGAAGACAAGCTTGTTCATTGAGGCAAAGCTTCCAGGATGTGCTGAGGTGTCCTCCAGTGTTCTGCTGACAGGTCATGTTGGCTGACAGCTTCAGGGAATCTGCCCCATGGAAAGAGGACAGTCTCATCTCTTGACAAATTCTTGGCCCCCACCCAATAGCTACTTCCTCCCATCTACTAATCTGCTCCTGCTCTTCTTGCACATCCAACCTTGATGTTGGACTTGTTACCTAGACCAACATTCAATTGTTTCTTTTACCACACCAATAGCCTACATAGACCTAACCTTTACTACCACTCTTATTCCCCTACTGTACATTGACTTACCTGAAGATGTCCAGTTCTGTAATTTAATGTCAAGTAGTTCCTGTCTGAACCTCTCGGCCAAATCCTTCAGTGTTTCTGATTGATGTTCCCAGGTCTCTGTGTCCTTTACCTTCCCTCCAAGGATACCTATGGCTCTGGTCTTGACACCAGAACAGTCAGAGGAGAGAAAAGGCTCTTCATCCACTTTACCTTGGATTTTGCACCAGTGATCTCTGGGCAAGGGCTTAGGAAAGAAGAGGACTTCATAGCAAAGGGAGTGCGGGCCTGTTAGGGCAAATCATTAGGCAGGATTGGGATGAGTAGGTCATGGATGTCTTAGTCATCGAATCCTGTCTGTGAGGGAGGAGAATCTCTGAAGGCCTGGCCTGCCAGAGGAAGCACTGCTCTTTCCCATTTAAAGTTGGCATTCCTGCCTTGTGCAAGAGGGAAAGGACCTTCCTTAGTAGTAGCCTCATGTCCCAGGAGAAGGTTCACATTCCCTCAGTTGGGACTAAGACCAACATTCATGGCCTCTTGACCTTGTTAGAATAAACACCAGGATGGCACAAGGTCTTCAGAAGCAATCCAGGTGGGCTTTGGGGAAATGGGGAGAGTGTGGAGCTACCCTGACATTTGGGGTGAGGACAGGATTCACAAGCACTACAGGGGTTCAGTGTAGGATTTTGGTTCCTAGGGTTTAGAATGACTGCTGGGAGGGGCACTACCCTGCTAGGAGGCTGACTTCTGTTAGCTTGGGAAGGGGAAACCTATACTGCATGGCAGAAATGGTCATGAGTCTGAGGTACCGGTAGCCACTCCTCCATTGCATTGCATCATTTTGTATTGCAAACATGTACTTATAAAAAAAAAGACCAGGAAAATCTTGACTTTCCAAGAAATGCAGCAGAAGAAAGGATCTGCCAGCTCAGAGAAGGGTACACCCCAGAGGGGATGCAAGGTGAACACCAGAAACATGTCCTGTCCATTCTGTTTCTTAGAAAGGTAAGAGGACGCTTATGTATGAAGCATGTAAAAAATGTCTGGCAAGCAAGATAAAACCAACGTTGGCATAGTGAAACAAGTGATAATGAGCAGAGGACAAATAAAGACCATGGACACTAAAAAGTCACTGTGACAGGTGTTTGTCTAGGAAGATAAACACAGGACAGTGGTCAAGCCTGGTCCTCATGCAGTGACTTGTTTCCAGAGGCCCTTGGCCTGAAGGCAGAGTCAGGCAGATTTGGTGTGGCCTGTGAAGCTGAAAATACTGCCCACAAAAGTGCTGGATGCATGCCTAGCTAGTAAGCACCTTAGGGTGCTCTCTCCCCCAAAGGAAAGACAGGGGCCTGGGTTCAAAAGCAGAAATCTAGAGATGCCCCTGTCTACAGCTACTGCTAGTGTCCTACTGGGCACATGGGGCCCACCATTGCTGTTTAAGTTGTGAAAGGAGCAGGGTGTGCTGCTGGGCTGTGCCCTCAGGCAGGGGCACAAGGGGCTGGGCTTCTGGTCTGGAAGATGGGGGAGGCCATGGGTACCTGGCGCCTGGCAAGGTGGCCAGATCTACAGGGGGGACAGGGAGCATAGGGTTTTTGGAATGCTCAGTAACTCGGGAGGGAAGTGGTGTATGGGGGGGTGAGGTGTGGAGTGCAGAGAGGTGAACTGCTGGCAAAGATTCTGGAGAACTCTGGGTTGGGGGAGAGTTTGTACCAAACAGAGCCAGGCCTGAGCTGGGTTCAGCTTTGTGGCTTAGGAGCCTATTCATTGAGCTTTGGAGGCTGTACTTTCCTATTTGGGCAGGTTGGATGCGGCCTGTATTGGTTACCTTAGTGTTAGTCCTGTCGCTTCCTGGACAACCTACCCATCCCCTGCTTTCTGTAATTTCAGGTGCTTCTTGGGCCCAGGAATGGGGAGCGGTGAGAAGGGCCTACCTGGCCGGACACAAAGGAGGGAAGGACTCCGTGCAGCAGTGTGCACGGAGGAGGCTGCTGGGACACAGCAAGGATTTACCAGTCCAGGAACCCTGGGAAAGGTCCGAGTACAGCAACAGCAGCAGCAGGGGCAGAAGCGGAGCCAGGACTCCCAGGAGGAAGTTGATGCTCAAAGCCAGCACCTTGGGTCCTTCGGGGAGAGGGAATTTGGCGTCTGGAGGTGGAGCCAGCGGAGCAGTGCTGGAACCCACGTCCCTACCCCAGGATGCGGTGCCCACGACTCTCAAAAGTTTCAAGGCTTTGGGGCCTCGGGGGCTTCTGCAGGATCTCCCTGTGGCTTTCCTATTCGCTCCGCGGAAGACGAAGTTTTGAGGGGTCCGTTCTAGAGAAGTCCCTTCTCGAACGACCTCGCCAAGGCCCACAGGGGACGCCACCCGTCCGGGGTTTAGGGCGCCGCCCCAGGCTGCCGGTGGCGTGGCGCTCCTAATTACCGTGGGTAGATTTTTCTTCTGTCCCAGAGTGCGTGTGCTTCCAGCGCCGTTGTGCCTGCCTCTTTGAACTGTTGTGATGCCCTGGGCGTGGTGGATTGCGGGGGTGGGGAGGGAGGATCTGGATCTGGGGCTTTCCCATCTTTGGTGACAGCCTCTGACTCAGAGGTATTTTTCCCCGGAGATGTCATCAAGTATTTTGCGTTCCCCTCCGTGTGTGTGTGTGTGTGTGTGTGTGTGTGTGTGTGTGTGTGTGTGTTTTGCAAGCTGTTTTGGGGCTTCCCTCAAACTCACTGAAATTCACTGAGATCCTCTTGCCTAGATTTGCAGAGTGCTGGGATTACAGGCATGGGCCACCATTGGGGCACGCATTTTATTTCCTGTTTGTCAATTCAGACAGCCATTTGTTGCCTAAAGAAGTGCTGGTTGTTTTTTTTTTTTTTTTTTTTTCTGCCTAATTATCCACCTTTCCATTTTCTTTTTTTTAATATTTATTTATTTATTTATTTATTTATTTATTTAGTGTGTGTGTGTGTGTGTGTGTGTGTGTGTGTGTGTGGCCAGCTCAGCCCACCAGGGGGCAGGGGCTGGTTGGCATGTGGTGCTGGGGGATTGAACCCTGGTCCCTGTGCTTTGCTTATCTTAGCTTGTTCTAAGTAGATGCTTTAGACCACTGAGCCATCTCACCAGCCCCCTTTCCATTTTCTGATACTAGACTGGGTGCAATATTCTCCATTCCTTTGTATGTAAGGAGTTCAGTTTGCAGTTACTCTGTGCCCCTGTCCTTATGCAGGCCATGAGCTTGTTGAAGGTGTCCTCCACTGCCTGTAGCCTGAAGACATTTGGATTTATGACTAGTAGCTGCCAGTCCTACTCACCTGCTGACTGCAAGGCTTTAGAGATCTAGACTTATTTACCATTTAATAGGGAATGGGCTCCGGGGATAAGGACAGAATAGGACTTAGGTGTTACCTCAAGCTAAGGTCTCCCCAGCAACCAGAGGCTGCTCTCCTTTCTGTCATTTCTGTCACAATCTGTTACTCTCATGATGGCCTCAGAAAGGTGCCACTAGGCTCCCCCTTCATGGAGGGCCGCAGCAAGCACAGTGAGAATGAATGGAGATGGGGTTGCAGCTGTGGATTCAGGTGTCAGTTGGTCTCCAATGGTTGAGCAGGAAAGATAGTTCCTAATCACAAGAGGAGCCCTTCCTCAGTTCCTATTTCCTATAGAAATACAGTTAGCAGGTAATCACCAAGCCACAGTCCCGTAGTAGCTCCATAGTGCATTGTTTTTTGTTTTTTTTTTTTTTTTTCTTGAGCTTTATACAATGAGTGAGATACTCTTACTGTGGAATCTAGAATGAGAGAATGCAAGAGAGAAGAGTTTGTCCTGAGAGGATAAGGAAGAACTACTGGCAAGTGATAGTTGGGTTCATCTTTGAAGGGTAACTGGCTCTTGGGCAGAGGAAACAGATTCTCCCAGTAGAAAGATGTTGCAGAAGAGAAGCAGGACATTGAGGATGAGTGGGTAGTTGAGGGCTGTTCAATCATCAGGGAACTGTAGAGGAAGAGATGTGAGGGGCAAGAATGAACAGGGATGGTGTGTAGAATCCTCCAGCAGTCATTCATTCTGGGCAGAAAAATCTATGACAGACAGAAGTTGGCTTTGTTTCAGTTGTGCACTTGTGTACTTATGCAGTCCATGGTGACAGCTATAGTACATGTTTGGACATACAGAATGACAGACACACACACTCAGACTGAAAAAGGGGGATGTGACCTCAGACTGGTTACCACTTCTGCTGTCTTTGTCCTCACATTTCCTGTCAACTCCTACATTTTTTTCTCAGTGGAGCAAGACTTGTTCTGCTCTGCTCTTGTTCCTGAGATCCTCCATTGAGACTTTCTGCGAACACTGCAATCTCCAGCCTGACCCCACTTCTCGCTTATTCCTGCAGAGTTGCTCCAGCTCCAGCTCAGCAGATCCGTGGTGACACACATGCCACATTTGGGCCAGCTGCCCTGTGACATTATCAGTCTTCTTGGTCTACAGGCTTCAGAATCTCCCTTCTTCACCTGAAGCACTCACCTTCCGTTTCTGCCAGACCCTTGTCACCAACAAGCATCCATGTTCTGCTGTCCCCTGCCTTCTGATAGTCACTGGCCTTACTCTCTCAGCTGTCTCGCCCTTGTCCCAGCTGGTGAAGGCAGGTGTGGGGAGCTAAAGGGAACCCTTCTTTGATGTGAACACAGCCTCTCCACTGACATCTGTCACGTGACCTCATCCACCTCATACATTTTCACCTGCCTTTTCCCAACCTTTTAACTGCTCAGCAGTGAGCAGTTCCAAACATTGTGCTTTCACTTGTGGTTTGAGTCTACTTTTAAAGACAGAAATATACAATACTAGAGGTTGGAGACCTGTCCATTGTCAACAGACTTCTTTCTTTTTGAATATGTGGTGCTTGCAATGGAACCCAGGGCCGGGAGTGTTACACAAGTGGCTTACTACACATGACATGTGGTCCTGGCTCATAAGCCTTTATCCCTGATCCTTGGTGGTCCATCACTGAACATGTAGGCATTTCGTTGCTTAACTGGTCATGGAATGTGCCAACCTCTGATGAGACTGGTAAAGGGTTCCTTTTTTCCCCTAAGTTTTCAAATTTATTGGCATAATTAGTACTGTTCTTTTTAAAAACCTTTAATTTGATAATTTCCTTTCTATGTATTTTATTTATTTAATTAGCCAATTTATTTATTTTTTTGGCAGAACCGGGGATTGAACTCAGACCCTTGTGCTTACCAGGCAAGCGCTTATCCTACTGAGCCATCTCCCTGGTCCCTATTTATTTTATTTGAACTGTATCTTTTCTTCTTCATCCATCTTACCACAGGCCCGCTTAGCTTATTAATCTTTTTAAAGAAGTAGTTTTAGTTTGGCAAATACTTTTGTTCTCAACTTCTCTGATTTGTGCTTTTAACTGCTGCTTTTCTAATTCAGTCCCTAACACTCAAAAAAGTTGCCATAAAAATATATTCATGAGCACTGAAATAAGAATGTCATATAATTTCCCCACATATTAAAATGTTACTCTTATGTGAGATTTTCCCCAATCAGTTCAGAATGTAAATCCACCCTTAGTTCAAGGAATGCACAAAACCCTAGGTGGGCGACAGGTTTTGACCCGCACACTACAGACTGCTGAAGCCTTTTGCTCCAGAGACCTCTGTATTCACTGACTGCACTTCCACCACTGTTCTATTCACTTCCTTCACCTGCTAGAGACTGGATCCCCACGTCCTCTGTAAAATTTAGATAACTTTGGATCATCAACATACAAAACCATTATTATTATTTTGACTAATTCAATAGAAGGGAAGGGACATCTCTTTATTTTTTTCATTTCATTTTCTTTCCTAAAATTTGCTACAGGGTCTCACAATGCAGCTCAGACTCTCAGTGATCCTCCTATCTCAGCCTCCCCAGCACTGGGAATACAGGTGAAAGCCACAATGCCAGGTTTTGGTAGATATCTCTGCGTGAGGCTGGGTTGGCATGTGGGATCAGTGAACAAACCCGGGTCCTTGCACTTGCCAGGCAGGTGCTTAGACTGCTGAGCTCTCTCTCCAGCCCTGGAAATATTTTTTGATGAAAAAAGGGTCCTACATATGTTGAACATGGAAGACCACCATCTAGGGAAAAGCAGTTAAAGTAGAGGACAACTGAAGCAACCTAGGTAATGAGCCAGTCATTTCTGAGTCTCTGTTCTCAAGATTACTGGGCTTTTGTCTGTCAGCAGAAGGACAGAGAATTAATTCCACTTTGGGGAAGAGATCAGCTCACAGAAAAGATTCCAGGGTATATTTATATGTTGATTCACAGTGAAATTTCCTCAGTGCTCCACATTGTTTAGAAATAGGAAAAGAAACACTATGAACAAGCTTTAAATATCACAGATGGATTCCTAAGGGAAGCAAGACTTGAGTGGAGCATGGTGGAAGAGATATGTTAATTTAATTTGAGCCCTCAGCAATGTTTGGATATTAAAATCCAATGTAAATAGCTTTCATAAATATAAAGAGTTATAAAATGAAAAAGAAGACCCCTCCCTCTCATGGCTCCTGATGGCTACCAACTTATTCTCACTATGTGGCATGACAAACAGGACTGTTCATAATAAGGACATAGCTCAGGTGTTGGGTTTGCCCCATTCGCTCTGCAGCACACACCACAAGGACTTTATTTCCTCCCTTCTTGTTGGGTCTGCTTTCTCTCTTGTATATCCTCTCCTCACTCTCTCAAACGCCAGCTCAAATGTTGCCTCTGCTTCGGACCTTCACAGAGACCATGGGAAATATCAATTCTCTCCTGATCTGTGTGCTCTCAGTGCTTTGGACCTGTTTCCAGCATAGCACTTAGTGCAAGGAATTATTTATCCAGGAG